CCCCGGGACCTCCGGAGCCTTCCCGGGACCCCTGAGGGGCCTCCCGGTACTTCCTGAGCCCTCCCGGTGCCTCCAGAGCGCCCCCCGGTACCCCCAGAGCGCCCCCCGGTACCCGCAGGCCACCATTGCGGCGGGGCCGGAAGTGACATTCCGATGTGAAGGAAGTGACGTCACGCCGAGTCCCGTCGCCCCAAGCGTTGCCTGGCAACGGCGTTTGTTGTTAGCAACGGCCAAGATGGCGGCAGGAGCGGCCTGCGCCCCCCCACGGGTGGGTACTGGGGGTTACTGGGAGCTACTGGGAGCTACTGGGGCGGTCTTTGGGTGCCGTGGGGGGCTCTGAGGGGTCACTGGGGACAACGGGGACTGGGAGGGGACAAATGGCGCCCAAAGCCACCTGGCGTCGCCTTTTCCCTGCTCTTTTCCCGCCTTTTCCCTTTTTTCCCGCCCTTTTTTCCCGCCCTTTTTTCCCGCCCTTTCTCCCGCCCCTCCGGGACCTGGCGCCATTTTGAGCCAGGATTTTGATTCAAAGGGAGGGGGAAAATCCCTGAAAATTCCCCAAAAATCCCCCCAGAAGCCACCAAAATTCAAATAAAAATTCACCAAAGTCCCCGAGATTCGAAGAAACATCGCCCAAAATCAAAAAAATCGTCTAAATAAATAAAAAAAATCCCTGCAAATGCACAAAAATTTACAAAAGATCCCCCAAAAATCCACAAAATTGAAAAAATACCCTGCAACCCAAAAATAACCCGTGAAGATCCAAAGAATCCATTAAAATCTTTTAAAAATCCCGTACAATTTTAAAAAAATCAGAACAATCCGTAAAAATTATTAAAGCCTTTCAAAAATCCCCCAAAAAAAAAAATCCATGAAAATCCCACAGAAATCCCCCCCCAAAAAACCCCAAAAAACAAATTAAAAAATTAAAAAAAAAAATCAGAACAATCCGTAAAAATTATTAAAGCCTTTCAAAAATCCACCAAAAAAAAAAATCCATGAAAATCCCACAGAAATCCCCTCCCAAAAAACCCTAAAAATCAATTTAAAAATTTTAAAAAAAGAAAAAAAAGAGGAAAAAGAAAAAGAAACCTGCTAAAAATCCCCAAAAATCCTCAGATGAATGGGGGAAAAAAAACCAATCTGGATTTCTCTGAAATTGGCTCCAATCCAAGCTCTAACATCCAACCCCAAAAATTCCTTGGATTAAATTTTAACCCTCTGGAGGGGGAGGGGGAACCGGAACATTCCCAGGATCATTCCCGGAGCGCCCCCGATCCGGAAAATCAAAAAAAAATCCCCCCAAAAATCCCAAGATGGACGAGGAGGAGCTCCAGGATGACCTGCGCCTCTTCCCAGGTGGAATTCCTGGATTTTTCCTGCTTTCCCCAGGGTTTTTCCAAGGGTTTTTCCTTCCCTCTTCCTCCCCTGGTCAGGGAATTTGGATAATCCCAAAAATTCTGCTCCCAGGAGCTTCAAATTCTTGGGAATCCCGGGAGGAAATCGTGGGAATTCCCAAAAGAATCTTGGAAATAATAAGGAAATTATTTAAAAAGATAATTCCCCAGTAATCCCCTAATAATTCCCAAAGGAAATCCTTCAATAATTCCCAAAGTGATCATTGGAACAAATGATCCCAAATAAAATAATCCTGGAATTCATCAGGAACGAATCCCTGAATAATTCCCAATAAGAGAAGCCCAAATCCCGGGAATTATTCCCAAATTTTCCCCTCTTGGAGGCAAACTTGAAGCACTCCCAGTTATTGATTAACCCCTGGATAAACAGAGCAGGAAAACCTGGGGGGAAATCCTGGGAAGAGCAGGGTGGGATTTTCCTTGGATTTTTCCCGGTATTTTCCCTCAATTTTCCTGCATTTTCCCAAAATTTCCTCTTCATTTCCCCTCCATTTTCTCCCAGATTTGTTGGATTACCCCTGGATCTGTTGGGTTTTCCTCTTTTCCCCATTTTCCCCCAGTTTCACTTCCCCTCCATTTCCCCCCAGATTTGTTGGATCACCCCTGGATTGGGTTTTCCTCTTTTCCCCATTTTCCCCCAGTTTCATCCCATTTCCCCCTGTTTTTCCCATTTTATCCACTTATTTCCCATCTTTTTTCCCTGATTTTCCCTGATTTTATCCATTTCTTTCCCATGTCTCACCATTTTGTCCCAGTTTCCCCAGTTTCTCCCCATTTCCCCCCATTTTTCCCCATTTCTTCCCATTTCATCCCTGTTTTTTCCAGTTTCTCCCCATTTTACCCCATTTCTCCCCCGTTTTTCCCCATTCTATCCCTGTTTTTTCCAGTTTCCCCATTTTACCCTGGTTTTACCCCATTTTCCCGGCTTTCCCCCATTTTCCCCCATTTCACCCCATTTTCCCGGTTTTTATCCCATTTCCCCCATTTTACCCCATTTTCCCCCCGTTTCACCCCATTTTCCCAGTTTTTATCCCGTCGGTTTTACCCTGTTCTCCCGTTTCCCCCCATTTTATCCCCAATTTCTCCCCATTTTCCCCTCTTTTCCCCCGTTTTCCCAGTTCTCACCCTGTTTTATCCTGTTTTCCCAGTTTTTACCCCATTTCACCCCCTTTTCTCAGTTTTTATCCCATTTCCCCCGTTTTATCCCCATT